CTTTTTAGTTAGATTTACTTCGTCTACTTGTGACTTTTTTGTGTGATTACATATGAATTTCAGTAAAAATATTTATTTTAATGTTAGGAATATCAACTTATTCTGTCCATGGAAAAATGCCTCCATCTTTGGTTTAAATTTTTTTCCATAATATTTTTTCAATTAAGGTAACATTGTCTTACAGAACTGTTTCTGATTTAGAGGAATAGGTTTGCAGTTCTTAGATGCATGTTACCATGTTACATCCTCCAAAAAAGCACCCATAATCCTCTGCCATAGTCCACTGAACTCTACCCACTGTTCCCTACTCTTCACACTTTTGCTCTGATTCCATTTTAAGAGCTATTTAGTTTCGATATCCAAACCTTTCCCCCCTCATATTCCTTGTCGTATTAAGATACTACCAGCGCAAAATCACTAACTCCAAGTTAAATTGAATACAACTTCTGTTTTTAGTTCTTAGAGGAAGAAGAAAATGACAAGAAAATTGGTGTGCATTTATTCAATCAATAAATATTGACTGCCTACATTATAGGTGCTGTGCATTCAATCATGAAATAATCCCAGCTCTTTATGGTTGTTATCTTTTAGTAGAGAGAGCGAGAGAGAGAATACATAGTATATATAAAAATAAGTCAATTGCTGGTGATAAGAGCTATGAGTTAGAATAAAACAAGACATTTTAGGAATGGGGTGGGTATTGCTATTTTACATAGAGTGACCAGAGTAGATTTCTGATAAGACATTTAGTCAATTTCTATTCAGATTCAACCCAGTATTATATGCCTTTAAAAACCTCCAATAGCCTATGGCATTAATACTAAATTAGCTCATTGAGCCTCTGTTGTCAAAGATTTAATTTGTTTTTCATTCTGTTCTATCAGAAAAACATATTGGAAACACACACACACACACACACACACACACATATATATATATAAAGATTAAAATAAAAAATCATTTTGGTTTATTAGAAAATTTGTAATCCATTACACTCATGCCCCGATTATTCCACTATAAAGAGGTCTTGTATTCGTGACTGATCCTTCCTAGGGAAGGTGAAAATGTCCTCCAGCTTGAGGTTGAAAGTGTTTGGTGACTGCATACATCTTCCTCCGGGTAACTTAGATATGGTGAGAATGGTAATTAGGGCAAGTAGAGAATCACAGATTTGACTGACTCCAAAAAATATTGATCTTAAAAACAAAATCATAACCCCTGATAAAAGCCTCGTTTTGCTCCATGTCGCCAATTTCTCTGGCAGATGTGGATCAAGCTTCAGAGTCTTTGATGGTTTAGTGTATGTGTTTGGAATAGAATCATGGCCACTGATTGAGTTTCTCCTATGATCCATACACATTGCATATGCTCCTTCTAATTCTGATGTCTGTGATGTGCAAAGGGATTTGTTTTTCTTTCCTGTAACATATCTGGTCATGGCTGAGCCAGGATAAGTGTAAGATGACTTTACAGCTTCTTTTTCTCACCACAGTACACTCCCATTATGCCTTCTCATGGAAAGGCTCTTTATTCTAGCCCCTGGCCTCAGGACCTGGCAGTGAAGATTTCTTTTCAGGCAGATTGAATCTGACTGACATCCAGTTTAAGAAATCCATAGATCTTTGAGTTCTGTACCACAGAGCATTTGAAATCACTGACAGACTTTGTGGACAAAATGGCAGCCTTCTGATAAACCGAAACACAAATTCAAAAATGACTCCTATGCTTACTGATTCTCATTTCCTAACAAAGCTATTAAGTTGGCATCATAGAGACTATGCACCTTTCTTCTTCCTAGGTAAGACATCTCTGGAGTTAGTTACTCTGACGTAATTGCCTGTTCTGTTCATGTTCCCCAGTGATTTGTGAACAACAGCAACGTAATGCAGACTATTTTTAGGCACCCGCTGTGTAATGGTCAAATGCAGCATTTCCTCTGTCACCTTGAGACTGTAGATTTCTATACATACCCATGTACTGCAGAGTAGTGGTTTTTAATCTCTTGATAACCACAAACCTTTATAGAATTTCTTTGAGGTCTTTTTTTTTTTTTGGCTCTCTACCTATTTTCAAAGAACATATGACTGTGAACCCTAATGAGAAAGTGCCTGTGTGCTAGCACCGCATACTTTCACTAACAAAAAGCAACTCAATAAAATAGCTACTAAACAGTGCAGTGTTAAATGAGAATTAGTAAATTCTAGATACTAGACAAATGTTACTGCGGGCAGGTTCCAGTTTGGACACTGCTGTGTTTAGTGCCCACCCCCATCACTGTATACTTTTTAGCACCACTCTCCCTAAAGAAACTGAGCTCTAGACTGGTTTTCCCGAAACATGCCTGTCATTGTTGTTTTAGTTTTTCATGAAACAGGGTCAGTCAGTGAAAAAACGTTTAGAAAAACTTTGGCCAAATTTTACTGCAGGGCTTCTCAGAGGCTATAATGGTTAATATGGACTGATTTAATAGTACACATTTCTCAGGCTTATTGAACAGGACCTCCCTCTCCCCTTTTCATAGAATGACTTATAAAAATAGTGTTTGGTGTAATTGCCAATAGATCCACTCTTTCTATTCTTGGTTCAGAATTTATCTTCTGTGTACTCCTTAGGGATCTTCTTGGCCACATAGGTGACAGTCCATTAAATAATCTATTTAATACTCCAATTAATGCCTGCTGGTGAGGATCTGTGTCTTATTCATTCCAGGATTGTTTGTGACTCTTGGAGGTCCAATGTTCACTTTCAAGTAATTTATCAATCTAATGTAACACTTGTCATGTTTCACTGGATTATGACCTTTAGTTATTAATACTGTATAGACATAATATCACTCGCTAGAACATGAAGGAAACTAAAATAAAAACTGCAATGAGATATCACCTCAAACCTGTTAGAAAGGTTATTATCAAAAGACAATAGATAATGTTGGCCAGTATGTGGAGAAAAGGAAACCTTTGGGTTCATCAGAAAATTAAAAATACCAGTTGATGTAGAAATCCCACTTCTGGATCTATAGTAAAAGGAAATGAAGTCATTACCTTTACATATGTCTGCACTTCCAGATACATTCACAAGTGCCACAATATAGAAGACATGGAAACAATACAATGGAATACTATGTAGTCATACAAAATATTCCCTTTTACATAGATGGACATTGAGGGCATTATTTTGAATGAAATTTTCTCTAAAGACAAATACTGTATGCTATTATTTATATATGGAATCTTATAAAACCTAACTTACAGAAATAGAGAGTAGAATTGTGGTTGTCAGGGAGGTAGAGATGGGGAAATGGGAAAATGTTGGTTAAAAGATACAAACTTCTAGTTATAAAATGACTAAGTTCTGGAGATCTAATGTACAACATAGTAAATGGAATATTAACTATATATAACTATTATTCACTTGAAAGTTACTAAGAGAGTAGATCTTGAATTTTCTCACTACACACACACACACAGACACACACACACACACAAAGGCAATTGTGTGAAGTGGTGGAAATATTAGCTAACCTTATTGTGTTAATTTTACAGAATATGCATGTTTCAAATGATAAGGTACTGCTTAAACTTACACGATATTATATGTTAATTACATCTTATTATATATAGGAAGGAAATTTAGATTTAACAGGTGAATATGTGGAGCCATTGATGGATTTTGAGCAGAAAAGTGAAATGAGCCCGTTGGCAGGTTGGCAAATGAACCCAAGGAGGGTGAGAATAGAAGCAGGAAAACCAGGTAAGAGGCTAGTGCATAAATCCATTAGTCCAGGTGAGAAGTGATGGTGGCTTGAAGTCAGTAACTCAGTAAGACAGAATGGTGGAAAGTTTATACATTCTGTTTTTTTTTTTTAAGATTTATTAATTTATGCATACAAGAACTGGAGGGCAGGCCAGAGATGTGGGGGTGAGAGGATTCACCAGAGACAGAGTGAGGAGCAGAACAGGTGAAATGACTGAAACACACTGCTGAGGGGAGCAGCGGGTGAGTCAGAAGAGGTCTGCTGCGCCATGTGGGTCACCTCCCTGGCCAGGGATAGGCTTCATAGGTTGTGTCTTAACCCCTTGCGCCACCAGGGAGGCTCTAGATTCTGTTTTGAAGGCAAAGTCCTAATGATATTTGCTGACAAATGGGGATGGCATGTGAGAGAAGGAGGAGTTAAGGATGAAAGAAATTCATTCTTCAACTGATTGTTATCACTGCCTATACATTGACAGAGGATGCACATTTGTACCAGGATTATACTTGTTTGTTATTTAGTTATTCTCTAGAGACACTAATCATGCTTTGAAAAAGTGAAAGTGAATAATTTCTTCTGAGCATTTAAGAAATTCTATTTTAATATGCTTGACAAAATTCAGCTGTGTGTTGAAATATGCATTTGATTGGAAAAATAAGAGACGGTCACAGGCACAATTCCTGGCCCTATGTTTGTTGATGGCTTTCCTTCACTTAGTGGACAATTACCATGATTTGGGTTTTTAAAAAAATCATTAATTCATTGAAAAACTACATATTTAGTTATCACGACATAGCAGACATTCTGCTAGTGCCAGGGACCAAGAGAGGATTAAGGTGAGTTCCCTACCCTCAGGGAATCTGCAGTCCAGTGGGACATGCAGGTGGTAAATTAAATGCTGTGGATGAAAACTTTTATGAAAATACAGGAGTCATTTTCATATCCCTAATAGCAAGGGCAAAACTCTTTGACTGCACATATATTTAATAAGAATGTATTTTCCTTAGGGGGCTGGAAGATTTGAATTTAGATGGGTAGCAGCTGACAAGCTCTGCATTTGGTTTCATTGACATGTTCACCACAGGAAAGGGGGAATGGCCACAAGGTGTGAGGTTTGTGTGAGGGGGGGGGGAAAGGAAATTTTTTTCAAAGAAACACATGCATCAGTATTACAAAGAATTTTCCTCTACCTACACCAAACTTGAAAACGCCCCTTCTTGTCAGAGGAAGTGCATTGACCATTGGAGCAATAAAAGAGACACGACTGGCGCTATTTCTCAACTTCTCTCTGCACATCTCAGGAGGATCTCAGTCATGAGAACTCTCGTCCTTGCCTTGCTTGTGATCTGCTGTTTCGCCGCATACACAGTGGAAGGTAAGTGGGAAGCTTATGTATGGGTTAAGGAACAGGTACACAGGCAGGTGGGCACACATTTTGGTCTTGACTCCAGTTTTGGTTGTAGAAAAGTGCTTTCCCTAAGATCTGCCTCAGCCTGCCCATGTGGAAAATGGGAATGATAATTTTGACTCTATGTGATTGTAGACTCCAAAGACCAAAAGAATTTGGTTAGCACCTGAGCTCTCAGTCTTCATGATTGAGTGACTTTGGTAAAATGTTTGGCCTCTCTGGATCTAGGCTATTTTATCTGTAAATTGAATATAGTAAAAAAATACCCTCACCTGATATTAAAATGAAATAAATCTTATTATCACTTATCATATTTCTTTAGCCATCAGAAATTCTTGATAAGCACTAGCTGTGAAATGGTGATGGATATGTACACCTTTGTAGTTTTTGCCCTTTTAATGCTAATCATAACTTCTCAAATTTTTCAAGAGTTTAACCCAATGTCGAGATGAACTAGAAGGATATGTTGTGAATCAGTCAATATTTTCTATTAAAAAAGTGACAGGAAGCTCAAATGTTCATATCCAGAAAATCAATATTATCTTTACGTATATGTAGGAGAGTCTATTATGACTGCTATGAATGTTGTTTCCGTTTATGATAAATTTCTTGAGTTTATAAGAGACCATATGATGCCCTAACAAATAGATAAATGCTTTTATTCATAGTCCCCCTCAAAACTCTGCAAGACATACTCAGATATATCAAACCATAGCTAATCATTCTACATATATTTCTTAAAGGATCATATTTTCTCCCTGAATGGCTGGAGGTTATTTCTTCTTGTGGTTCTGGCCATGGGAAAATCCTTTATAGAATTGATATTTCATTACTTTAATTAATAATTATAACTAATTAGTAACTCAATATGTTGGTTAACTGTCTTTCAAACCTCCACATTGTAGACATAACTTAGGGTAGAATATCTGATCGTGGATTCAAGGGTGTCCATGAATAGAGGTGGAAAAGTCTGAACTTCCTAAATTATGAACATAATAAAAAAATATTGATGAAACAAAAAGTTTTAGACTATTAAATCAGACCAAATGTTGCACCAGGGCTGGTAATTTGCTGAGACAAAAAGCATGCCATTTGGTGGTACCGGGTGAAGGTAGAGGAAAAGATGTTTCATAAGAGACTGAGGAGGACTGTGGACACTGGGCTCTGAATCCCAGGTTTTCTGCATGAATGAGCTCCACAAGGCCCTCTGGGACGGAACTTCCTATGTCAACAATGGGGCAAGACAAGCTCTGCTTTGACTCAATTCTGCAATGCAAGTGAAGTTCGTATCTTAACCGACTACGCAGAAACACACACATGGTTAAGAATAAGGAGAAGACTTTGATTTTGTGGTTTAGAGTCCAGTGGGATTCTGTGGATCTTGGGAGTCGTGTCAGATAGTCACAGAGAGAAACAGATAGTGAGGGAAAAGGAAATAAAGTGGATTCTGCCCTTTCTCTGTGCTAAGAGACATTTGAACATTCAAAAAAAATTGGCAAAGACAGAGGGCAAAGAAAATGCAGGCAGGATACTGAGGATGATGGAAAGTTGCCGTAAAGAGCATTGTTAGTGAATTCCTTCTTTTTTCCTAATTTTAATATTTAAAAATATTTCAATATTAGCAACACTAGAGATCATCATCAACATTTGTTTTTAGCTGAATATTTCTCTAGGAAGTAAATACCAGTCTTTTTGGCTTAAGAGAAACCATGATTAAATTTTACCAAACCCTTCATATTATAAACTGTCCTACGTTATTTTCCCTTCTCCAGTATAAGATGATTGATTTACATGAAAACTTTAATTTCCCTTGGGATATTTTTACTAAGGATGGATCCTTAGTGGATGGCTTTATAGATCTCACATTTTACCATTTAAAATGAGAACATCTTAAAACAAGCAGCCTCTTCCTATTTAATGTTGCCTTCCCCACGTTATTCTTTATTGCATCATTCTGCTTTATTTTACATAAGCATGGAAATATTTGAAATCATGTTTAATTTTGTTTGTCTGATTTGTTTTCTTCACTAGGTGTGGGAAGTGAAGTCCTAGGAAGGAGTATGTGTGTGGCACTAACTACCAAGCCGCTGCATTTTAAACAAATCAGCAAATACACCATCGATGAGGGCCCCCTGAAAGCAGTCATGTAAGTTTGTCTTCCCCATAGCTGGGCTTGATGGATCACAGTTTACAGAAATGCTGCCCCCCTCAGGAAAAATAAGTCAGCAGTCACCCCACTGAAATGCTGGTTAAAGCCCAGCCCCTCTGTTTTCACCACGTGCCCACATCTTCTGTGGCCCCAAATAATGGTATGGGAAGCACTTGGCAACCAAATAAAGAGGATCATCCTTTCTGATTTAGTTTAGCAGAAGACTTTGCAAACCAGATGAATCCTGTGTTAGGTTTTGAGAGTTAGGTTTGGAGGTGGCTGGTTCAGATGAGATTTTGACCATAGAGCACACTGGTGTGCGAGTCTTCCTTTCCCTTCTTTCCTTTCCCCGTCCCTCTTTCTCTCCATGCCTCCCCTGCATCTTCTTCTCTCCCCTCCCTTCATTCATGGTGTATTGGATTAGGATATGTCAATGTCAAAGGCGACATGTCAAAATCTAGCCATATGATACTCTATCCAGAACTCATTTTTAGAATAGTGTCTCTTCCTAACACATAATTGCAATTTACCTTCAGAAATTATGATAAAGAAATCACCTCTTTGTCCAAAAATTAAAATGAATGTGTTTAGGTTTGAAAGGTAATTGTATTAGATGACCCCAAATATCCAGTTCAATCACAACATGTGGTGGTACTGATAAGAACAGTCACCTGGAGTGGTGGTGTGCAGAGGAGCTGGGTACTACCTGCAGCTATTTCTCCCTTATGTTAAAATTAATAGAAGAAGAAAAGTTTTCATGATTCTGAATGACTTTCTTCTAGCAACTTCTGCACAAGATATCTTATATCTGGTTTGATCTTAACTCCTGATCTCAAAGCTTTGAGCAGATCATTAATTGTTCTATCTTTTCCTTGTGTTGCAGATTTATCACCAAACGTGGCATTAAAATTTGTGCTAATCCAGATCACAAGTGGGTGAAAAACGCTGTCAAATATGTGCACCGGTCAGCCAAAAAAACTGTGATCAGGACCTCACCTACACGAGCCCAACAAGCGACCATGACAGCCTTCAAGACAACCACCGCTACATCTGTGACCCTGACTGGGTAGTGGCCTTCTGACCACTTGCCCTTCATGAGTTAGCCAACTTGTATCCCTTTACAAGTTCATGGACTAATTAAATTATATCCACTTATTATGAATGTGCTGCATAAGTCGTTATTTTCCTGTATGTTTATGTTGAATGTGTTTTCTATTCATTTAGATGCCCTAATTAATAAATATTTATTATTAAGAACAGTCACAGAGTCTATTCATGTTATAGTGCAGAAGGTAATGTGTCATATACATTCTATTTCTGTCCCAACTGTACCTTTCTTTGGTGGTATGCCTGATGGGAGAGATTTTGGCCAGCATCTATCAGAGACGCAAATGATAGCCATCATTATAGGTTCTAGCTTAAAATGGTTCACCACAACTGACAATGGAGGTAATGGCAACATTCAAGATATATTTCAACTCACCCTCCAAATGGACTCCTATTTATGGAATGTAGGGACAAAATAATCTAACAGTCACTGGGTTCCCACTTTGAGGTTGCACTACTCAAAAAATGGTTTCACTCAAGTTTGACCTTGAGCAAATTTTCTTACTGTTTTTGTTTTTTGTTTTCTTTCAATCCACCATGAAAGGGAGCAAATACAGGGCTTGTCAGTTCTTTCTTTTGTCGAGGTCCCATAGGTTAGATTTTGGGTGAGATGGTACTTGGCTAAAATAAACATCAAGGCTCTTTGAACAGGGTAATGATCTCATCATATTTCCATAATTATCTCTAGTTATCACACAAGCCATTCTTTCTGCCAATAAGCTTTTATAACCTCAAACACTGTCACATGGAATGTTTCTAGAATGTGATCACTTGTTTTTTGCAATCAAAAATGATTTTTGGCGCAGAGCAGGCAGATCTACTGAAATACACTGCTGAGGGGAGCAGCGGGGGAGACAGGAGTGGTCTGCTGCGCCATGTGGGTTGCTTCCTGGCTCGGCATCGAGCACATGCTGCAGTGGCTGCCTATAGCTTCATAGTGCTGAGACATAACCCCTGGGCCACTAGGGAGCCCCCCTTTTGCTGTCAAATTTTAATTACATGTTCATCTGGTCACTCAATACCCTGCACTGATGTTCTCCTATATTAACATTAGGTTGCTGATTGGACTGATGTTTAAGGTTCTATCTCCAAACCACTGGTGATTTACCTCCAGTTCTATCTGACTCTAGGTGTGAGAACTGACAGCATCTCGATAATCTCAATTGAATAAAAAGTACTAATTGCTGTCTAGTGCCAAGGGCACATTTGCAGTATCCTGTATTTTCAGAGAGTGACATCTAATCATCCAACCAGATGAAGGGAAACCATGAAAAGTTGCCTTCCAACAAGAAGTGGGTCAACTACCCTTTCTCATTGCCATTTGCTCACCATCATTTCTGAAGCTAGGCTTGAAGAAAGCAAGCGCTCACTAAGAATAAAAGGCTTATGGTGTGAGGGGTGGGAAATGACAAAGTCAAAGAAGATAAAGGGGATGCTTGACCTGACTGAGTTACATATTTGTGTTTCCCAAATGTCTCCCAGACCCAACATAATTTTTTAAAGACTTATTTATTTATGCACACAAGAACTGGGATCCAGGCTAGGGGTGTGGGTTGGGGTTGTGGAGGGGGAGAGGATTCACCAGAGACAGTGGGTAGCAAAAAGGCAAATGTACTGAAATACAATGTTGAGGGGAGCAGCGGGGGAGACAGGAGAGGTCTGATGCACCATGTGTGTTGCCTCCCTGGGTGGGGAGGGGGCTGGGCGGAGGTGTCAAAATTGTGCTGCAGCAGCTGTGGATAACTTCATAGTGCTGTGCTTAACCCCTGTGCCACCAGGGAGGCCCTAGGCCTGGACATTTTTATGAGGTGATAATCACATGATGTGTGGAAAGATGTGGGTATGCCCATCTCCGTAACTTGTCACATTCTCTAAGGTGATGCCAAGAAGTTCCAGCCAAATAGTTCACGGAATATTTTGAATTCATTTAGGTGGAAAGTGAGTCTACTAATTGTACCCCTGATGTTTATTAAATTTCCATTCAATTCAAAGAAATGATGGAATCAGGAGCTATCGCAAATATTAATTTCTTTTAAGTGTCTGTAGCCCTTCCTTTGTGTTCCTGTGACATCTAACCTTTAACCTAAAACATCAGTTTTCTTGTTTGCCTATCTCTTCGCCCCCAGTTAGACTGGAACTTGCTTCTATGACTTATTCAGAGTGGGTGTCCAGTGCTCAGCAGATAAATCTAGGGGGTCCGTTGATATTTGCTGGATGGAGGGAAAGAAGAACACACATTGCATCATTTCCTTCATTCTAACCTTCTGTAATTCTAAAATTAATATAACACAAGTAAGTTTTGTTTAAAGGAGGTTCACCTCAGTAAACTTTTTTAAAGGAAATCTATTTATTATTTATTTAGTTATTTTTAACTAGATGTTTTACAAGGTTTATTACATCACTGTACTTGTTTTAGGGGGTTTCACCTCAAACCTCTACAGAGTATGTTTTCATGCCCTGCCCACCACCAATTTCCCAACAGTCCTCCTCCATTGGTCCCCTCACTCCCCTATTCCCAACTCACCACCCTCCCCTTCTTGTTGCCTCAGTTTTGCAGTGGGATGTCAAGGGTTTGTTATTTGTTTGTTTTTTTTAGCAGTGTACTTCCTCAGTCTGCCTGTTCTGTTCCCTGCTCTGGCTCTGGTGAATTCTCTCACCCTCCCGCACTTCTGACTGTACCCAGTGCTTGTATAAATAAATATATCTTTAAACAAAACAAAAAAAACAAAACAAAGCCTACATATTCAGTTATTACAACATAGCAGACATTCTGCTGGTACCAGGGACTCAGAGAGGATTAAGGTGAATTCCCTATCCTCAGGGAATCAGCAGTCTAGTGTGACATGCAGGTGGTAAATTAAATGCTGTGGATGAAAACCTTTATGAAAATACAGGAGTCATTTTCATATGCCTAATAGCAAGGGCAAAACTTTTTGACTGCACATATGCTTAATAAGAATATTTTCCTATCCCTAATATGAGGAAGATAGGAGAACATGCTTACACATGCTGGGCCATGACAGAGACTTGGCCCTGGGGGTCTGGAAGATTTGAATTTAGATGAGTAGCAGCTGACAAGCTCTGCATTTGATTTCATTGACATGTTCACCACAGCAAAACGGGAACAGCCACAAAGTGTGAGGTTTGTATGAGTGGGGACAAAGGACATTTTTTTCAAAGAAACATGTCTCAGTGTCGCAAAGATTTTCCACTGTTCCTCATCCAACATGAAACCCCGCCTTGTTGTTACAGGAAGTGCGTTGACCACTGAGCAATAAAAGAGACAGGAGGGGAGCTATCCCCATCTTCTCTCTGCACATCTCAGGAGGACCTCAGCCATGAGAACTCTCATCCTTGTCTTGCTTGTGATCTGCTGTCTCACCGCATACACAGTGGAAGGTAAGTGGGAAGGTTATGTATGGGTTAAGGAACAGGTCCGCAGGCAGGTGGGCACACATTTTGGTCTTGACTCTGGTTTTGATTGGAGAAAAGTGCTTTCCCCAAGATCTGCCTCAGCCTGCCCATGTGGAAAATGGGCATGATCATTTTGACTCTATGGGGTTTTAGACTCCAAAGACCAAAAGAATTTGGTTAGCACCTGAGCTCTCAGTCTTCATGATTGAGTGACTTTGGTAAAATGTTTAGCCTCTCTGAGTCTAGGCTGTTTTATCTGTCAACTGAATATACTATCATATACTTTCACCTGGTTAAAATGAAATAAATCTTACGATCACTTATCAGATTTCTTTTTTAAAAGATTTTATTTTTATTTATTTATACAAGCACTGGGTACAACCAGAAGCGCGGGAGGGTGAGAGAATTCACCAGAGTCTGAGGGAAGAACGGAGCAGGCAGAATGACGAAGTACACTGCTGAGGAGAGCAGCGGGCGGCAGGAGAGGTCTGCGCGCCATGTGGGACCCTCGCCTGGAGGCCGGGGATTGAACCTGCGCTGTAGAGGCTGCGGGCAGCTTAGCAACCCAGCACTCAACTGCTGCGCCACCGGGGTGGCTCACTTATCAAATATCTTTATCCATGAGAAATTCTTGATAAGCACTAGCTGTGAAATGGTGATGGTTATGTACGACTTTGTAGTTTGGCCCATTTAATACTAATCATAACTTCTCAAAATTTTTGAGAGTTTAGTCACAATGTAGGGATTAACTAGAGGGATATGTTCTGAATCAGTCAATATTTTCTAGTAAAAAAGTGACAGGAAACTGCTATGTTGATATCCAGAAAATCAATATTACATTCAAGTATGCAGGAGTCTATTATGACTGCTATGAATGTTATTCCCATTTATGATAAATTTCCTGAGTTTATAAGAGACTCTATGATGTGCTAACAAATAGATTAATACTTTATTCATAGTCCAAAAAAAAATCTGCAAGACATACCCAGATGAGACTCACATACATCAACCTTAGCTAATCATTCTACACATATTTCTTAAAGGATCATATTTTCTCCTTGAATGGTTGGAGGTCATTTCTTCTTGTGGTTCTGGGCATGGGAACATCCTTAATGTAATTCATATTTTATTACTTTAATTAATAAGTATAACTAATTATTAAGTCAGTAATTTGGTTAACTCTCTTTCAAATCTCCTCATGTGCAGACATTACTTAGACTAGAATATCTGAGCTGGTCGTGTATTCAAGGGTGTCCATGAATAGAGGTGGCAAAATCTGGCACTCCTTAAATTGTCAATGAAATTAAAAAATATAGAAGAATCAAAAAGTTTTAGATGAGGGCCTCCCCTGGTGGCGCAGGTGGTTGAGCACAGCACTGGGAAGCTGTCCGTAGCCTCTGCAGCACCTGTTCGATCCCAGCTGGCCGGCGAGAATCCCACATTGCATGGCAGACCTCTCTGTCTCACCCGCTGCTCCCCTCAGCAGTGTATTTCTGTCAGTCTCCCTGTTCTCTTCCCCACTCTGTCTCTGGTGAATCCTCTTACCCTCCCGCACATCTGGCCTGTACCTCGGTTCCTGTATGCATGAAAATATAAATCTTAAAAAAAAAAGTGTAGACTATTAAATCAGACCAAATGTTGCACCATGGCTGGTAATTTGCTGAGACAAACAGCATGCCATTTGGTGGCACCCGGGTGA